CCGATCGCATGGTCGGTGGTTCGAATCCCTGCGGTGGGGTGCGCTCCCGTTGCTCAGTCCCAGCGCCTGCCAACCTAGCAGTTTGAAAGCACCCCGGGTGCAAGTAGATAAATAGGGACCGCTTACCAGCGGGAAGGTAAACGGTGTTCCGTGTGCTGCACTGGCTCACCAGATGCAGCTTGTCACGCTGGCCACGTGACCCGGAAGTGTCTGCGGGCAGCGCTGGCTTCCGGCCTATAGAGTGAGATGAGCGCACAACCCTAGAGTCTGGCAAGACTGGCCCGTACGGGCAGGGGTACCTTTACCTTTATCTTGGTAAATGGTCATCTGTATTTATTCTGAAAATCAACCCCCAGAGCACACCCTGCATTTGAAGACCACAAGGGGAAACTTGCAGTGATGAGCAAGCCAGTACACTGCGAGCTCCAGATAAATACATAACACCTTTCATAATTCAGCTGAAGTCTAGCACTGTGCTACCGGCAGAACAATTAATCCAACCCTGTTTTTAGTAACTAATAATAGCTTTTAGTGTGATGACTTCACAACAGTTGGTACCAATAAACAAGGATGTGTGTTGTAGAAATCATTTGTAGCCCTGTGCACAAGGTTACATCTTTTTATATATATATAAAAAATACTCATCTAAAGATGCTGTTTGTTATGAGGGCAACAGGAGTATCCTGCCATACCAAATAACAGTTTCGATGAAGGGAGCTTTTTGTTGAGACTGAGGCACAGGAGGAAAGAATTGAATTATCCCCAGTACTCCCTTTTTTATGTTTGAAGAACAATCATGCAAGCAATGTAATTCAGACTTGATTCACCTCTCTGCCTAGCAAGCACCTTTGCTCTTCAACCTCTTGTGTCTTGAAGTGAAGCTGGAAAAAGCTGCACACCATATGGATATTCCATGGGAGAAATATGGGGAGTCAGGTGAGTTTACTTAGGAATGAAATGATTTGCCCCTTTCTGTACCTTTATTTTCTATGGGCTTGAAACTCCAAAATTTGGTGGTGCTGCGAATCAGATCAGGAGAATTTCAGAAAAACACTAGATTTTCCTGCTTAGCTTCCTAATGTTTAATATAAGATGTGGCTCCTGTAGATTTTTCAAACCATTAGTTATTTGGTTTAGGTAATGCTATATACCGGCATCATTGGACCTATATAACTGTTATATAGTAGCAGCCATTGTAGCAGCAGCAGAAGAAGAATGTGCTATGCACACTCACCTCTCATAATCACCAACATTCAACTTTTGAATGCGTAATGTTACTGATTTGTAATTTTGCATTGTGTAGTAGATCTTTATAACTGTTTGTTACTCAGCAGACTTTCCTTCCTGGTGCAATTTGACTGAACCAAAATTATGCTTAGGGACATGGAATAAGAGATGTATTTAAAATGGATAAGAAAAAGAAATATGCATATGGATTGTATCTAAGTATATGAGACAGTATTCATGAACCAAATGCATCATTCATAAATAAGACCACATTTCATGTAAGTGGCAAAAGCTATGTAGCATGCCAATCTTGTTCGGCTTACACGACATCACAAGTTAGAAATCTTGAGTGTAAAACAAATCACTTGATCAGCACTGGGATGTTTGAAAGGAATGTGAGATGCAAAGAGGACAAAGAACAAGGGAAATTGTGTACAAAAGCAAAATGGGTTAGAACTGCAGAGCTGACAAGGAGGCCAATTAGAATAGCTTTTGTCAGCTCTGAAATCCATTAGAATCTTCTGTGGTGAGACTGAGGGAGTCTGTGATGTTCACAAATGATTGTAAGGGCAATAGCTCCAATTGTGAAGATTGACTTCCAGTCCATGACTGGTGGGCCTTCAAGGTGTCTTGATCCTCCTGGATACCTGTCAGTCAAAACTGAATGCCTAGGCTTGGTGCAAGACCAGCAGGCATCGGCTGCCAATAGAGGGCATTGTAATGATCCCTTTGGTATCCAAAGAAACCTTGCCTACCTTTCCCATAGACTCCACCTTATAGCACCTACTGGAAGCACACACTGCTACTGTCCCAATATGTACCAAGTTGTACTCTCCCAGCCCCCTACTATAGCAGGCATGTTGAAATACTGAGCTGAACAGAGAATCAAATTATTTTCATGAGGACTTGAGCCTTGCTAGGGCTTCTTAACCCTAGGATGCATGCTAAATTCTTTTATTTACACAAAGAGGTCAGGATACTTCCTTAGATGTGAAAATAGGTTTCTACAACTGCAGCACCACTACCTCTTCCTTCACTCCCAACCTGCTACCCACTTCAGAAATTCAGCCCGGAAGAGCCATGGATTCTAACAGTACTCATAGCAAACATTTCTAGAAAAGTAAATTCACATTTTATCCTGTAAAATTGTGGAGGGATTTGATAGTGAAGCATTCCATAAGCATCTCACCTTCTAATATAAGAAAGTCAAGTGCTCCCAAGATTTTAGCTCTGAGGGTAATAGGCAATCTGTGAAAATAGCACTTGAATTCTAATGGGACACCATCTTCATCATTTTCCCTCTGTACCCAACCTTACAATCTTTTGAATGCGGAATTTGTTTTAGTACTATATTTTTGCAGACTATTAAATGGTAGTGCATTAATCCGCATAATGTAAAAACATACAATTACTAGGGCATTCCTAAAACGGATCACTAGGAAAGTGTGAATTCTTGGGCTTTCTGTAGCTTTGAAAACAATTGTTGTTGGGTTGATTACTTCTTTATCAATATGAAGATAGTTAATCTTCCTTGGCAGCTTTTAAAGCCAGGAATAAAAGCTTTGGAAGAATCCAAAACATTTTTAGAGAGACCGCAAAAGTCTCTATCCGGGTAACGCTGACATCATTGTGTAACCAATCAGCCATACATTTAAAGCACTTATATACCACTTTATTAATAGACATGGCTTCTTCCAAAGAATCCCAGAGTTCTTGGTGAAGAAGATTGTTAAACTGCTCTGAGAATTGTAGCTCTGTGAGGGGGTGTCCTAAAACACCTCTGCATCCTTAACAAACTACAGCTCCCAGGATCCTTTAGGGGAAGGCATCATCTAAAGTGGTATAAGAGTGCCTTAAATATATGGCGCAGCTGTGGCTCACAGAGGGCAAAAGAAATCATTCAGAGTGAGGACAATGCCTATTTAAGAAGCTTTGCCATCAAGTCACATAGCCGGATCTGATTGGATGCAGCTTTGGTGCCTTACTGGTCTTCAAACTGGTCATTATCCTGGCAACAGCGACAACATTTAGCCAATCAGAGCTACACAGAGGCTCACAATGGACTGCTGGCATTGCCAACTGAATGGAGAACTGATGCAGACCGTGTGGATGTATGCAGGCATCACCACTCCCGTTACAAAAAGCAAAAAGGTGGGGTTGGGGTAGTTAAAGTAGAGAAAAACATGTGAAAGTACCCTTCTGCTTGTTGCTTTTAAGTATTTTAATTTTAGCACCATGGAATATTATATAATGAAACCAGAGACTACCGCACTCTTGAACTGTGTGCAGAATATAGTGTTCTTAACTGCTAAAATGGAAGTATGCTAAATACTAGTATGTCATAAAGATGTAGCTATCACTTAGCCAGCTGACAGGTGGCGATGGCTTTTTTGAAATTGGCATATGGCATACCTTACTATATTTTGCTGAAATCTAGCCTTGAGCTTCAGTTTAGCTAGCTCTCATATTTTGGAAGAAGTTAGGTGGTTACCAGTTAGGTAGACATGTTGTGATTTTTAAAATTATTATTCCAAGAGTCTGGAGGTTTATTTAACTGTATAACTTTAGATTTGTATATGTTTAGAGAAGTAGTGTGATGAGACAAATAAAGCATTGGACTTGGACCAGGGAGACTTGAGTAGAAATTTCTGCCATGATGGTTGCTGGGTGACATTGGGCCAATCTTTCTCTTTCATACAAACCTTACTTCAATGAGTTGCTGTGAAGATACAAGTGTGTAATAATAATAATAATAATAATAATAATAATAATAATAATAATAATTTATTATTTATACCCCGCCCATCTGGCTGGGTTTCCCCAGCCACTCTGGGCGGCTTCCAAAAGAATATTTGCAGTCCACAATACACTGAGCTCCTTAGAGAAAAGGCAGGGTCCAATTTTTAAAAAGTCAAAAATAAAGTTGATGTGTAGCCTTCATTTGGTATTATTTCATTTGCATCATGAACATTTTATGACTTTTTGGGGGGGGGTATCAAACTCTGTTGAGGGTTTTAGTTAAATACAAGGGTCAAGGGGCAATTAAGACATCTTCCCCATGTTAAATTTATGTTCTGTGGAAGTAATGTGATGGAACACAGCAGCTGTGTCAGCGTGTTATAAGAATTCAGTTATCTTTGCACTTACTTACATAATAGCATGCTGTTAGATTGCCCATTTGTAAGTTAAATACTTACTGCTTCTGATCAGTGCTTAATTTCTTAAACTATAGTAGAATCTGGAGAAATGCCAGGACTTGAAAGGTGCCAGGCAATCATGTCCTACAGCTTATGAACCCTAGACTTCAGGCAGTGGCTCTATTTTTTATATACAGTTATTTCTTTTCCTGACAGTGTGTGTAGGGTTTTGTCATGGCCTTTGGCTTGTACAATAAAACTTATTTTGGTTTAATTTGAACCTTAGCCCCAATATTCCTAAATGTAGAGACTAGAGCAGATGTTGTTAATTTGTGGCAAGACAGAGAACATGTGTTCATGCTCAAAAGCCTTCTACCTGTTCTGGAACTGAAGGCAGTTTCCAGAACTAAGCCATGGTGATCCAGTCCTTCAAACAAGCTCTGCTATAGATATATGCAATTTGAATTTTCTTCTCATGATTCCATCCACAGCTTTGTTATTGTTGAGCTCTGAGAGCAAAATCTCATTTTTTTATTGTGCCTTAAATTCTACAAATGTATAAAGGTTTCCTTAATGCTGGGAGGTGCAACCGTCAAGACTTGTGCATTTATATCATCTCTTTTACCTGTTTCTTAGGACCTGTGTCCACCACTACAGTGATAGACAACAAGAATGGAACAGTCCCCATGCCACATGTGAAAGTGTCCAAGAAAGTTTCAGAAGACTTTGCCACCACGTTCAGCTCACCAGCAGCATGGCTACTTGTCGCTGCACTCATTGTTACCTGGTCAGCTGTGGCCATTGTCATGTTCGACTTGGTAGATTACAAAACCCTGGCAGGTGAGACTCATATATCTTACAAAATGTAAGGTAATCACTTTCAAAGTAGATACAGTTTGTAAGAACCACTGAATGACTGCTATTTCCAAGCTAAGTGTGGGAGTGAACAATTGAAAATAGTATATTGTCTAATTTTAAAAGATTCAGTACAGTTAGCTGGTATTTATATCCAGAGGTTGCCATTATATTGACATCACGAATGTTATTTTAGGTTTGCAAATGTAGATGATTAGTGGTTAACATGGTGTCCTGGGGAAAGTGGGAGGTACAAGCTTTCCCCTAGAATATTCCCATCCGTTTATTGTACAATACTGTAGATGTTAGCTTCTGCATTCCCAGTGATGGGGTACTACAGTGTCAGGCAAGACAGAGAGATAAGAAATAAGTTATAAACAGTCTAGAGCAGAAAACATTATGCTATATATGTTTCTCATAGGTTGTTTCAAAGAATTTGTGTATGTGTGTATGTACACACACACACACCTCTGTTGAATTATTTTTCTTTGTGAGATGATGTCAGCAGATTATTCCCTTAAATGTTAATCTGATCAAACCCTTTGATTTTCTGAGGGGTTTTTCAAATGTAGAAGGTTTGTGTTCTTCATGTACTTAAATGGAATTCAATAAGCAAGATATGGGATAGCTCTAATGGTCTACTCAATTTAATAGGTTCATATAAGATACACTGGTCTTCTTTTAAATACCATTAATGATGTAAGTCTTTCAAAATATTAATTAGGTGAAACACTGTATATTCATTGCAGGCAGGCAGGCGAGCTCTACTAAAATGCTTCTGAGTACTCACTCTATTGAAATGCTTTAAATATCTTTCATGTCTGACAGAAATTAGTCTAAAAGGATTCACACATACAATAGCTTGCCATTATTAGGGAATTAGATTGTATCTAATAAATAAATCTGTCTGCATAAAGTACCCTCATTTGTACAGTTATTTTAATTGCACTCAATATACTGATATCTTCACATATAATTGAAAAAAAATCAATTATTAAACAAATCTTTGCAATCCATCCAAAGCCAGTTAAAATATGACTCTTCTAATTATTTAACAATCACAGAAATGAACTGAAGACCAAGGTTTAATCCACTGTGCTCTCATTAAAATTAGAAAATTAAGCAAAATAATTTGCACAGACCAATCTGTTAGTCATTTACATGCTTCCATATGAGCACTCATTAGGGCTGTGCTGAACTATTGTGAATTTCTAGATTTGTTTTGAAATTTGCATACTCATCAAGGGATGACCTTTCTTCAAACAGCTAAACAAATAACACCCAAGTCAAAAGTCATGGCCGAAGAATAAGATGGAAGGAGGAGAGGAGGTTCTGCCAAGTCTGCCATAGTAGATAGGAAGCTGCTGCCAGCAATGCTCCCGTTGGTGGAGAGATAGATCTCCCCTCAGCCAGATAGACTGGAGTACCAGAGGCTTTGCATTCATGGGATCAAAACCCCCACAAATCCCTCACAGGGCCCTCAAATTTGCCTTCCCAACTTAGCAGTTCTTCAGATGCAATGATGGCTCTGCCATTCAGGTTGTCTTTAGCCTCTCATGAGGATTGTTTTGTAAGCTTCACCCAACTGAATGATATCCATTCTGTAAGACACCTGTCCCCCCCACATACTGCCATGGCCGTGTGACTTCAGGTATGGCTGGATATGGAGCTTGCATCAGATTCCCCATAGCCAGAAAAAGGACTTTCTTCTAGCTGTAGTTCAGTCAGGTTGGCAGCTTCTCCAGCCACTGTCAGGCCAGGATTGTACAGATCCCTTCATCCAAAAGTTTGGGAACATCTGTGAGCTGGGGTGGGCTAAATCAAGCCTGCACATTTCTCTAATTTCTCATTATAAATCAGATTTTAGGGGCTTTTGTCTTTTGTTTCCAGGACTAGAAAGAGAAACAGAGAAAAGTATATTGGTAGGTGGCAGAAGGTGGCTTTTAAAAAAGCTTTGTATTAATATGATATAAATGGAGAATTCAGGCAAACTGTTTGACACATATGAGGTGCATTCTTGAATGGAACAAAACTGACTAGACTTGCATCGAGTGGTGATGTGGTAGAATCTAAAACAAAATTGCTTTGTGACAAAATGCAAAATAGCAATATGAAATGCTCATGTTGAGATCTTCTTATGGATTTTGAGCAACGTGTGTGTTGTACTTCAAACTATGAAGCCCCAGTGTGTGGCTCTACCTCTTACCAGTTCAGTAACTAAAAACATGTAAGATTTTTTTAAAAAATAATTTGAGCAGCAATCCTAAGCACACCAACTAGGGCAGGAAAAGCCAATGTGTTGCCCTCAAGATGTTTTGGACTACAGCTCCCATCAGTCCCGGCTAACATAGCCAATGGTCAGGGATAATGGGAGTTGTAGTCCACAGTGTCTGGCGGTTATCATTTGGGCTACCTGTGGACTAGGCCCACTAAATGCAATGGAGTTTAATTCCAGGTAAACCTGCTTAAGATTATGCTACTTGGGAAGAAAAAGTGAGACAAATAATTCAGAGTTGGAGAAGTGTATTTTGTGTGGCTGTTTCCTTTGGGAATATTCAATCATTTTTGCTGTCACGTTTTGGACCAAACCGCAGTCCTTGCAGCAACAGTGATGGAACACCACAGACAAAGAAACAGATTAATCCAATTTGGATATAATAAGCATGAGAACTAGTTTTCAAATCCATCTGGGGTTTCATGAGATTCAGCATTGCTTAATCCTCACAGCAATTTCTAGAAGATAAAGAAAACCTTTGCCCATATTGAATGTGTTTATCAAAGAAAATCGAAGCAAATTCCCAATTTTCTTGCAGCAAATGGGCAGCACAAGCTCTCTAAAGGCAAAATTTTGAATTTTGCCTGATATGGCTCAAATACTATGTTAAACTTGCATTTGACTTGACTTACTGGCAATTAATTGGGGGGGGGTGGTATCTACTTCTTTTTTTAAAAAAATTAAGAAGTCTGATTTAAATTCAGAAAGAAAGAAAGAAATGGAACTTCTGGCAGATCTAACTCTGACTATGACCAGACAGTTAGTTAGAGTGTAGTGCTGATAATGCCAAAGTTGCAGGTTCAATCCCATTATGGGACAACTGCATATTCCTGCTTTACAGGGGGGTTGTTTTTAAAGCATCTCTTTGTTGATTCTGCAGGCATTGTGTACTTTGTGGTGTGACTTTCAAATGCATTTTGAAAGTGAATTTGTCTATTTGCGTTTGTTTCAGCCCTAATCTAGTACTGATAATTGGAGGTAGCAAAGGGACAGATAAAACTTGCTTATATGCTGGACCATCCAGCTATTTTGACAATTAAGAATCTTGAAGGTGCTGGAACTTCAGGTGGAATGATTCTCTTCCTTGGTTCTTTGCCTATTTTCCAAGGTGGCTGGATCTCATGTAGCTAATATGTGGAATGCAGAACTAGCCAGCCTTGAGAATCAGGCAAATAAACTTTTATCCACAAAGCCCTGCATAGACCTGTATTTGCAGATCCAGCTATATAACATGTCATCTTACCTTATTTTATCATATTTTATTTTATTGTATAAGTTTATATGCAGCTTAATTGTAACAAAACTTCTAAGCGGTTTAGAAGAACTATAAAATGGTCAATTAAAAAGGTTTAAATTGACATTAATCATTTAGATCAATTTTTAAAATTTAAAAGCTATTAAAATTAACAGTAAAAGAGATTAAAATTCATCAACATCTATGTCTCTGGAGAGACTTGCCTCAACAAAAATGTTTTAAGCATGTACTAGAAAGAGTACAGCAAAAGTCTGATGTCAGTAGGCATAGAGATCCAAAGTGTAGCTGCTGCCACACTAAAATAATAATTTCTTACAACTGTGCACAGAGTATCATGGGGCACCTGTAGTAGTGCCAGTTCCACAGACTGAAGCTATCAAGTAGACACAAAGTGCCCAAGGCAACCTTGTAAGTCAACTGGTCCCAAGATGTTAAGGACCTTGTACAGCCTTATATCATGTAATATTTCATTCCATAGGAAAATTTGGAAGCATTTCCCTGGCCCAAATCCAGAGGTTGGTCTTCTGGTGAAATGTGCAAATATTGTGGAAGATGTTTCCATTGGTCTTCACTTATAACATGTTACAGCTCCAATTACCTTGCAACTGAAGTGAAATACGAGCCTGCTTTCCTACGTGTAACAGGCCCTGTTTCTGAATTCCCCATTTCTTCAGTGTATCTTCAAAATTGACCTGGAATATTCTGTAGATTGGAAGTGTAGCATTCACCAGGAAAATTTAGGGGATAGATAAAACGGCATATATAAAATGTATGTAGCCTTACCCTGGGATTCCCAGTGCAGCAGCTGTTGCTGCCACAGCACCTACAGTTACCATCCTTGCTGCCCAGCAAAACTCCTTTTGATTTTTAGGTTTTTTTCCCCTCCCTCTGGGTAGCTGGGATCATTTCAAAGTGAAGCACTGGTCCCTATCCCCTATCATATTCATTTCCCAGAATGCCTTTGGGCCCCATAGGTATCCTTGGGATATAAAGATGGTAGATGGCTCCAGGCAGACACTTTGCTTTGGAGTATTCCTGGATGCCCATATGAATAATAACAAGTGAGCCCCTAATCCCCACTGCGCAGTAATCCTGGGGGGGTTGGGGGGTTGGGAAGGCAGTAGAAGGACTGGGTAGTGGGAAACCAACAGGGGAGGGGGTTGGGAAGGCAGGTTTAACTTTTCCTCTTCTTACTCTTACTTCATGTGTATTTTGTTCTCATAGGAATACATCAACTTGATATTGACAAAGATGTGGGGAAAGCTGAGATCCCTAGAGGCAAGGAACCCATTTTATTTTTTTTCCACGTTTCAAACATATCTGTCATGCTCTTTGATCGTATTGAGTTGCACAACTGCTGCAAAGGGTTTTTGTTTTTCCAAATTACAGGAATTATATAGACACTCCATAATAAACCTGCAGTATACATTGTTGGGAACTAAATGCTCTGAGGTAAAAGGAGTAAATCCGACTCAAGTGCCGATCCACAAAGCAGTTAAGGAAGAACGGGAGGGAGATTTAAGACTTAAATATTAAGCCAATGTAGTCGGATTGAAGAGAATGGAGCTATTAGGACTGGGTCACACATCCATTTATTTATATTTGATAACTGTAAAATTAAATAGGGGCTTGCATGCATGAATGAACCATAGCAAGTCAAGCAGCACAAAGCAAACTTTCATAGCACTTCAAACACAATGCTTGTAAATGGAGTCAATTTGCACACTCAGTGGGAAGTCGTCGTGGAGAGAAAACAAATATTATGTGTACATTTGCGAATTGGCATTAAATCACATTAAATACTTCAGCTTAAGTACACTGTAACTGAGCTCTGAGAATGGTTGAAAAAATCCAGTTCAAATGCTGAACTGAAGACACCTGGGAATTACACGTAAGCTGCTCTCAGTTTATTGGGGGAAAGGGTGGTATAAATATAATTAATAGATAGGGTTTATTTGCATGTAAATGCCATCTTCTTATTTTTTTAAAAAGGAAAAGTCGTTTTAATGCCCTTGAAAACAACATAGGGCCACTGGTCATGCTTGCTGGGGCTCATGGGAGTTGTAGTTCAGCAACAGCGGGGGGGGGGAAAGGTTCCCCACACCTGACATAGTGTGTTGACGATCTCTGCATTCTATCAAAGGTGATGTATGTGTAGAACTGGGCAGGCTTTTGTGTGTGTGCTTTCTTGTTGGATGAAGTACCATATACACAAAGGTGTGCTATGCACATGGTTTCTGGAGTTGAATCATAGCTATTGAGATCATTTGCAAATGAAGCCTGACACTGGATTTGGAATTAGTGTGTCAGGTTTGCAACATCAGATACCTATCTTAGAAGGGGTGGGGACTGGCTCTCCTCCCATTCCATCAGCCATTTGTTGGGCAGCAAGAAGCCAATTTATTACTGTGCACCCATATCAAACACTGTTCTTAAAACATTATTAAATTCATTATGCCATATTTTATTAGAGTACTTATATGTCATTATTTCTATCATCTATCTATCTATCTATCTATCTATCAATCATCTATCTACTTCTTCTTTCAGCATTTTATTTTAACCTTCATTTTCTACCTCTTTTTGAGAACCTTTTATGGTTTTCTTCGAATAACTCACAAATTATGTGGTATATATTTTAATTCATAAGGAGCTTAAGGTGCTGAAGTGGTGGTACTAGTATTTGTTGTGAACATTAGGTATACAGTTAACAAGAAAACATATTTGTATGTGGTTTTCTGAATACTTAGGTATCACAATTGTGAAAAAGAAAATGATAACGGTATGTGCATAATTGCTGAGTTTAATATTGCTCCTCTGCTGGAAATAAGACCAGACTCTTGTATCTTTAATTTATTACTTATTTCTACTAGTATTAAGACTATTTAATAAGAATATTTCCATACTGCCCAATATCTAACATCCTTTGGGTGGTGAACAAGAAGAGCAATTAAACCATAACTATTAAAGCAAAAATAAAACAACACAAAACTAAAATGCGTAAAAACGGCAGCAAGACCTGTGCTGTGTGGAGGATCATAAAGTAGATGCAAGGGGAACCTATCTAGGGAAGACATTCTAGAAACAAGGTGCCACTGCCACCAAACAGGACCTTAAATGGTGAGGACAGCCTGAGAGGGGCCTCTGCAGATGACCTAAGAGTCCAGGAAGGTGACAGTATTTGAGGTACTCTGGACAAAGCTGTTTAGGAGTTTAAAGAGCAGCATAAACACTTTGAAATGAGTCTGGTGTAGGTGGAAAAGTACTAGTTGAATGTTATTCATCAGCCAGCTCCAGTAGCCCAATTTTGAACCAACTAGAAATTCTGAGCTGTTTTTGAAGAAAACCACAAGTGCAACATATTGCAACAATAGTTTGCATATGGGGGCATTTGGGCAGGTGCCTCCCCAGAGTACGTCCATGGTGTTACAAATGTAAGAAGAGCTGCAGTTGCTGAAGCACTATTTTCTATTGCACTTGGTTACCTTGCTTGAGCAGAATAATAATAATAATAATAATAATAATAATAATAATAATAATTGGTAAGGCTAAAAACTAGAGGTGGGTTTGAAAATTCAACACTCCTGCTTGAATTCTTGTATCATGGCAGGCACACAACCAACATTGAGCTGCCTCCCCACTTCAGTTCTGCTTTCACTCCAAGCCCTGCACCATCTGCTACCTTGTTCCCCTCTCCCAAGGACAAGGTGATGGGAAGAATAACCATGTTGAAACAGGATGAGATAGCAAGTGATGCAGATACACCCCTCTCCTCCTTCTGATAAGTGATTCTGGCCATGTCTTCTGTTGTTGGGGCATCATTGAGCTGAACTACAATCCCTGTGATCCCCATCTGTAAATGACTTTGCCTTTATAATTTGCTTGAAAGAGGAGAAGCCTTACAGACTTCACCTTTAAAATCATTTCCCACCTGCTACCCCAACCCTTCACCCCATCACTTCTCTTCCCGTCAGTGAACCCCCCACCACCACCACCACCACTTTGGGTGAGTAAATGCATCAATTGGGCGATATGAATGCTCCTTTCAAGCACTCTGAACTTCCCTCAAAGGTTTTTGAGCACTCAGTGGGCTTGATTGATTTTCAGGGCAGCCCAAGGCTCCTTGAAGAAGGCTCAGAGCCAGGGGATTTGTGGTGGGACGACTGAGTGGTCAGAGGGAGAAGAGAAAGCAGACTGGGAGGAAGAGGTGTCAGGAGCAGAAGAGGCAACAGGGTTTAATGAGCAGGAAGAGGTGGTGGCAGAGAGCAGTGCAGACTTAGAAGCTGAGTGCAGGCAGGCTGTGGAAGAAGTCTTTTCATCCTGTTGCACCCAGATCTCCTCCCTTCTGGTATCCCGGCACACACAGAGAAATGAAGAGGGAAGAGGAACAAGAGGCAAGAAGGCAAAGCCTAAGGCTGCTGGGGAAGGAACCAGGAGAGGAGCCTTAGAGAGCGGAGGGAAGGTGTGGACCTTCAGTCATCGCAACTGCTTCATTGGGGCAACACCTCCTGGCAAGAGTTGCTGAGACTATTAGGCCTGAGCTGTGATTTGTTCCCTTGAATAAAGAGTTAACTTCACTGGCCTTGGGTGATTTATTGTTTTATTGCTGACCTACCAACCTGGACACCCAGGATTGTATATGTATGTATGTATGTATGTATGTATGTATGTACATGCGTATATCTCACATACCATTCCTAGCGCTATTCCCCTTTTGTTTACCACAGTTCTGCCTTCTGCAGGCTCCTCCCTTTGCACGGTTGTATCACAGCTGACTTACAAGTCTCTTAATCAGATTTTGTTTTTCATTATATTTTATTTTTCATTCCATATGTTTTATACAGTATTGTACAAATAATGGAAGCATAACAATGGTTTATTCCAGTCTATGCCAGATACATAGACAGGCTTCCTCTAGGCCAAAGTTTTGGTTCTCTGAAGATGTGCAAATAGAATCCATGTGGCATTTTAATAAACAGCAAATTGGTTCGGGTTGTATCCATCTGTGGAATAGGAAGCAAGAAAGTTTGTTTCCTGGAAGACTGAAGAAGAATATCTGTTAGAAGTTGAGTTGCAATGGCAGAATCACTAATTCAGCAACAAGCCAATTGGGTTTATACTAATGTGACTTCTCATCTTAGCTACCCTGAGGTTATAGGAACTGAGCTGAGGTAGTAAAGCCGTCATATGGTAACCAGATTATTTGTTAGGGCACTTCACTTTTTAAAGATACTCTTCCTGATCCAAAACAGGGTCTGTGGTATCAGGTAGGCAACAACCTGCCTGTGTATTTAGCATATCTGGCCAGGGGCAAATTATTGGTGCCCTTAAATATGCTCACATTTTTGTGGATCACATCTGTTGTCTGCAAAAGAAAAGGCACCCACACATTTAGGATTGCTTCATCAAAGTCAACTTTTTAGAGAATTCAACTTTTTTTAATCAAAAGGCTATCAATCAGTCAGTCAATTTTTTTAAAAAAAGTGTTTATTAATTTTCCAATAAGACCATCTAATTAACATATCAAATCAAATCGAATAAAAATAAATCAGTCAGTCAAATCAATATGTTTTATTTCCCAAACTTCTCTTCTTTATATTTTGCATTCAGGGCAATCTGTCAACAAGCTCACCACTGATCCACTGAGACTCGTACATGGTGCAGTGGAAGAAACAACAGACTGGGTGTATGGCTTTCTTTCATTATTGACCGACCTCATATTTGAAGATGAAGATGAGAGCGAAAGAGGTATTCTGATGCTTTCAAGTGATTGGTTTTGTACAGCTGCATTCTTATCCTGCTGTCCAGTAGGGTCAAGCAAAATAGATAGCTAAGAGGCAAGAATTCACCAAGTGACCACTATAGCCTGACAGCTGGCCTCTCATTTGAATAGCTCTTGTATGGTATTTAATGCTCCATTTATGGAAAGGAGGCCAGAATTACAATGTTGCTGTTATTTTTACTTAAAACTCTAGTTGTGCTAGATTATACAAAAACTGGAAAAGTACAATGCAAGCATACAGCCAAAGAATTAACTTCAAGGAGCAGTAGCAACTATTCCCAAGGCTCTCTACTTAATTTTGTATACCCTTTGAGCAATGAATGGGCACTGGATACATTAGAATTCAAAGACCAACCTTGTATTTGATATTGAGCAGTCGTTGGCATTGTGGCTGGAACTGACAATAGCGGTTGAGTTCTAATGTGCTACCTGTGGTCTAGGCAATAAAAACACTGGCCGGAATCCAGGGAAACTGCACAACTAACTCTGCAAGCCCAAAGAGGCTTTTGATTATTTTGTTGCAATGTGACAGGGGCTACTTAAACAGAAGAAGTAAAAAGCTGATATCTGTTGTCGCCTGTGCAACTCTAATGGAACTCCTTAGCACATAACTAGCACTTTTTAAAACCTTTTGTTAATTTCACTTTAAAAACTCCTGCAATGCAGGTAAGCATAGCCAGCAACTTGGGCAAAATAATCAAAAGCCTCTGTAGGCATGTGTTTCTATTGCTTTAGGATTGTAATTAAAATGCATTACCCCTGACTGCAGTCTACTGTGACACTCTGTTAATGGAACATCAAAAGATAATCAGTTTTGTAGTGGATAGGTACTTGGGTCACAGGTGACGTATGCAATGCCTATTATTCAGCCAGTAGAACATAAGATTCTTAATCTCAAGGTCAAGGGTTCGAGCACCACATTGGGCAAAAGATTCCTGCATTGCAGGGGGTTGGACTAAATGACCCTCATGGGCCCTCCCAATTCTGTGATTCTAGTCATTACAGTGGTACCTCGAGATGCAAACGGGATCCGAATGTAAGACACGACTGCGCATGCGCGGGTCGCGTTTCACCGCTTCTGTGCTTCTGCGCATGCACATAACGTCATTTTGACCGTCTGCACATGCGTGAGTGGCGAAACCCGGAAGTAATGCGCTCCGTTACTTCCAGGTTGCTGTGGAGCGCAACTCAAACGCGCTCAACCCGAAGCACATTCAACTCGAGGTATGACTGTATTCCTTTGTAGCTTCAGAAAGCACTCTTCAAAAGAAATACCATTAAAACCCAGCTGGAATTAAAAAATGAGTTCCTCCAAATAAGATTCATCAGTTTGAAGTAGTACCCAGTTTTTCCCACCACAGAGCTCTTAAATAAGAATTACATGTGAACACTAACCAGCAGGTCTTGCTGACACTAGACCCTATTTTGTTGTGTACTTCTGCAGTTCCTCAATATAATCCTTGACAAACTTGAAATAGAATTTTTGATTTTTTAGTTTTGAATGCATCAACAATAGGCTTTTGAGGCTCTGGTCTAATCTCAGAAACTGCTTCTGGGGAAAAGCATGTATAAATCATGAAATAAACACAAAGGTAATGCAATAATGCAAACACACTTGCAAAGGGAAATGTGAACATTATAGAAAGCCTGTCATAATTTATCAAAACCAAGACAGCTAAGAACAATAACTTCAGGGCTACTTTTATGACTTTAAGAACTTCACATTATGAACTCCTCCTAGAAAATCTGGATTGGGAGATTAACTTTATCAAGCCCTGAATCTGAAAGAGATCCTATACCTTTTAAGAGTTAGCATGGAATACATTTTTGTTTTATTTTTAGTTTTGTTCTACATTCTAAAAAGGATATGGTCTGTTTGGATTTCGGTAATTCTAAATTTAGGAAGAAATATGTGATGACTCAATACACGATGACTAGTTCTTACAGTTTCACATTTCAGGTTATCAAGGCATCAATGTTCTCTTTCGGATCCAAAAATATGGGGAATTTTGCAGTCCCTTCATCCAACTTCACCCCACCTGAGTTGGGGGAGTGGTACCTTTGGGGGAGCACAAAGAGTGCAATTGGAATAGGAAATTGTGGGAGGCAGTACCAGTGTATGTGACCCACATGTATCTTGACCCACATGGGTATAATGTTCAAACTCCCATTAAGCCTCTCATTATGTGTGAGCCCAAAAAAGCTACAAACTCCTTGATCTTCATATGAAAATAGAAGCATCAGAATAAAAATCTCTGTCTTTCTATTTTCATTGTCCAACTCATAATGCTTGAGTGCATTTAAATATGAAGATAACCCAGATGGAGTTATATATATATATTGCTAATATATGATTATGCTGCTATTCATCTGGTTATTCTTTTCTCTCTTGGTTTAGGTGAAGTGGCACCTTCCTTGAAAATAAAAGGTTGGTTTTGCACATCTTTATAAAAGGTCACATGCTTTGTTTGATTAGATGGGTATTAGGCAGGAACAATGCAGCTGTATGCTGCCAGTGCTTATTGCTAATTACATACAGTACATCTTTCTACTAATTGAGCATCCTCTCTGTAGATTAAAATCATTTGCATGGCATGCAGGATAGTTTGTTCCTGTGCTGTACACACGGAGTATCAAGGTGGACTGCTGAATGTGAGTGTCAAAGGGATACTGCTTAATGGAGACAATACATGCACACAAGCTACTAAGCTCCAAAGGGTTTGCAACTAGAGTTCATTTTCAGAGCATCCTATGCAATGCTAACCTGCAATAACAACACCTGAATTAGACTGCTCTGTTTGTTTGTTTTTTCTGGCAGAGTTCCCATATCTTTAGCAGCCTGGCATTTATTAATTCAAGAGCAGATTCCCTCCACCCCCTTCACTGTATTAGGAAAAAGCATATTGGATTCTGCCTATTTTCCAGCTGTTATAGGCAATAAGCCCCAAAGAAGCAGGAAAAAATGAGAGATTGTTTCCCTAAGTCCCTTGAACAAATACACAGACTGACAAGCAAAAGAGCATGGCAGAAATACTTGGGAACTCATTGCTCAAGTCGTCTGGACTTGTTATCTTAACAGAACAGAGGGGAGACTAGAATGAAATGAAAACAAACCCACATTTTGATTTGGGAAAGTCTGCCCTTAATGGTTCCTGATCCGTTTTCAATCAGATTGAACAGCCTCCTATTGGCACCAAAAGCCTTGGTCCCTGATATTACAGGACACCTTACTGAGTGCTGAAGAGGGACAATTTAAATGGTACAGAAATTAGCACAAAAATGTGCCTGTGCTATCATTCAAAGCTTATACCTGGCCTTGAGACAGTGCAATATACTGTACCAGTGTTCTTCAACCTTGGGTTCCTAGATCTAGTTGGACTGGAGCTCCTATCACCCCTGACCACTGGCTAAACTGGCTGGGGATTACATGTTGCAGTAAAATATGGGGGATCCAAGATTGAAGAACACAATACAATATACTGAGCAGGGATGGAAAGGAAACATGGTTGCCAGAATCAATAGAGGACATGCCTTCTGCTCCTCTTGTTGTTATACAGAAGGAAAATAAGTAGTATCAGGTATAGTTTGCTGTATGTTTGAATTTTGAATATACATACCACATTTTTTTAGCTGAATGCCAGCAAAGAAATAAACTGTGGGCTTGATCCAGAACTCTACCCATGCTCTACTGGAAGAAAAGGAGGGAGGAATATTCACTAATTCCCCTCTTTCCCCTACAGCCCACTGGATGCTCAAAACAAACAAACAAACAAACAAATGAAACTCTTGTGGGGGATTGGGAGACCCTCAAGAACAGCAGGAGCCTTCTTCTGTGAATGGAAGGCGAGTCTGGATCTAACCCTATAACACATCGTATAACATAACAAGTGTCACTTCTCCTGAAGTACTATGACAGGAAAATATCAGCTTCCTGAAGATCTCCCTCCTACACAGCTATTTAAGGCACAGAAGAGGAGTAATGTAATATATTGAATCTATTGAGCTAAGAGGAAGTGAGAATGAGGTAGGAAGAATCAGCCAACAATGAGAATTCAAGTTCAAGTGACATGTGAGAGTGTAGCAGAGCGAGGGTGGCTCAGCTCCCGCCTTCATGAAAACTTCAGACAGGAGAGCTATGATCACAAGGGGAGCCATTCTGATTTCTGCATCCCCCCCCCTCAGATGGGAATGTAGAGCTGAGATAGGTGGATAGGGCCTTCATTTACAGCAGGGGCGGTGGTGAACCTGTACCCTGCCCCCAAGTGTTGCTGGACTACAATTCCCATCCTTGACCACTGCCCATGCTGGCAGGGGCTGATGGGAGTTGGAGTTCAACAACAGCTGGAGGGACACAGGTTTCCCATCCTTGTTCTATTGTCTGGCCAATTCCTAATACATTATTGTATATTTTCCTGTGCCCAGGTATCAGTTCCTATCTCACTATCTCAGAGATACTAATACTAAAGCAATGCTTAATGGTAAAAGAGAAAGCATTGGCAATTAGTACCCTGACTCTGCAGAAGAAGATCCCCTCTAGGTGAAACCAAAGGCTCATTCTGTCTAGCATCCTGATCTCACAGTAGCCAACCAAATGCCTGTGGCGAACGTGAGAGCAATAGCCATCTCCTGCTTGTGTTTCTCAGCACAGTGTCTCAGATACAAAAGGTAGCCACTAATGCATAACCTCATCCTCTATCCATACAGAAGTGGATCCAATATAACTTACTTTTACATGAACAGCTTATGCCTGGAACGCAGAAGAACAGTTTATTGAAATATACCTAAACCGCAAACTAACCTTACTTTATGTTTTTTCTCTCTCTCTTTTTAGAAGGAATCCAACCACCGGTCAAAAAGAAAGGTAAGCAAATTTCAAAGCCAGTTTAGTTTCATCTTCTACCATAAAATTTCAGATGTTCAAAAATGAGAGGATCTATTTTCCAGCCTTATCCCTGCTGAACTGCTTCACTGCCATGGGCAAGAGATCTACCTTCAGAAAGATAACAATGGTAGAGTGGATATAACATATATGCATAACATGTGAGATTTTGCCTGAGAGAGAACTGTTAAAACTGTCAGGAGCCGAGTTAAAGGGCAGTTGTGACATCATCAACCAGTATATCCATTTTTGCATGACCAAGCATTCTAAACAGCAATTGCTAAATTGGCCTATTTTGCAAATTTCAAAATGGCTATAAGATACTTAATTTGGCCTATCAGGTGGCAAGGGCAGTAAAAGGGGGGCGGGAAGTGACAAGTTGCAGGATGTAGAGGCCAAGAAAATGGGCGAGGAGGCAAAGCCAAATTTTGATGGGCTACCTCTAACCCAGCTACAGTTCATCTCTATGCCTATATTTAAATGTATATTTAAATATACATTGGTGGCTGACTTCAGACGGAAAGGCCACAGCTGAAATAGAAGTGGAGGTGGGAAAAGGCAAGAGACTGATCTGATGAGGCAGAGAATGGAGAGCAAGTGTGGAAGGGGAGAGGAACAAAGGAAATAAAAGTGGCCAAAACCAGCTGGGAAGAGAGGTTGTGGGGTTGACAGTCATCCACAAACTCCATAATACAGCCGCACTGTGAGTTGGGGAAGGCCGCTCCCTCCTCAGGCTAATTCCACCTGGCCCAGGGGGCGGGGCCCAGACTGACTCACCACTGCCACGGCTTTGGGAGGCCTCATTGAGGCACTGTGACACTGCTGCTGCTGCTGCACTGTGGGTGTTGAGGAAGGCCGCTCCCTCCTGTAGTGTTTTAAAGGGGTTTTTACTTTTTACTTTGTTGTACCACCATGAACGGTGGTTTTTATTGATGTATTTTTATTTTGTTCCGTTTTATTTTGGTTTGGGGTTGGATATTGAGTGGGGTGGGGATTTTATTTGTTTGGTACAATTGTTTTTGGTTTGATTTGTTTTTCTATTTTGTACATGGAGGTTGGTTTGAGGCTCGGGATTGCTACCGTAGTGGGGCGAGGGAGGTATGGCGGTGGGGGCAGATGTCATAGGCGAAGAGGATCGAGATACGGATATGCTCGTACCCCTTCCAATCTGCACCCCATCCCGAGGGACGAAGGTAGGGTGAGCAAGGATTACTCACCTCCATCACTGGTGTTGTGCAATGCCAGGTCTATAGGCAACAAAACCGCCACCCTGCGAGATTTCTTCACCTCGCAGGGGGTTGACCTGGCTTGTGTGACAGAGACCTGGGTGCGCGAATGGGATACTGTGACCTTACGAGAGATGGCGCCCCTGGATTTCTCCGTCCTCCACCAGTCGCGGACTGTGGGCCGGGGGGGAGGGGTGGCATTATTAATCCGAGAAGACTGTTCTTTCAGGGCTCTACCATCGCCATCTATCCCCGGCATTGAATGTGTTGGCCTAGTGTGGGGCTCCGAGGTGAGCTTGGCTGCCTGGCTGGTGTACCGGCCACCTAGCGCACCAGCAGCCACCCTGTCAGGCCTGCTGGAGGCGGTGGCCAGCTGGGCCTTGGAGTTCCCTAACCTATTGGTATTGGGGGACTTCAACATCCATGCTGATGCCACTCCCTCCTCACAGGCTCTGGACCTGGTGTCTTCCATGGCGACACTAGGGCTCTCCCAGTTTGTTTCGGGCCCCACACATCAAGCAGGCCACACGCTGGATTTGATCTTGGGCGTCGGTATAGATGTGATCATGTCTCCTTCGATGAAGGTGCCATGGTCTGATTACTACGCTCTGAAAGCCAGGATCGATTTTCCACCCCCACCCTGCTTAGGTGGCGAGCCAATTTGGGCTCGCCCGCAGAGGCTGATGGACCCTGATAGATTCCGTCAGGCCTTGTGGGACCTTGCTCTCCCTGGCGACTCATTGACTGAGCTTGTTGAGGGCTGGAATATCCAGCTCCTAGCAGCCATCGATGAGATCGCACCTAGGCGCCCTCTGCGACCCCGCAGAAACCGGGCTCCCTGGTTTACTGAGGAGCTTCGGAAAATGAAGCGGGACCTCAGACGACTAGAGCGAGTATGGCGTGGTGCCCGTGACGGAGCCTCAAGAACACCTTATAGGGTTTTTATGAAAACCTATGAGATGGCAGTGAAGGCCGCTAAGAAGTCCTACTTCTCGGCCTCCATTGCCTTCGCTAGCTCTCGCCCAGTGCAATTATTTAGTATAATTAGGTCTTTAACGTCCCTTGAAGGGCAGCCAAATTTAAATAACAATTTGACACACAGCTGTGAGGCATTTGCGAGCTTTTTTGCGGAGAAGGTCCTGTTGCTCCACCATGACCTCCCTGCCAATTTGGATACAATAAAGGAACTGGAGCCCCCTCAACTGTCCTCGGGTCCAGTATTGGACCACTTTGACCGGATATCCCCAGCCGATGTGGACAGACTCCTCCGAGCTGGAAAGCCCACCACCTGTCCTCTTGACCCGTGCCCGTCTTGGCTGATTAGAGCGTGTCCAGATGAGGTGCGGGCCCCCTGGGTGATATCATCAATTTAGAATCATAGAATCCCAGAAACTCCAGCGGGTGCAGAATGCCGCGGCGAGACTCCTTATGGGGTCTTCGCTGCGAGATCATATTCAGCTGGTACTATACCAGCTGCACTGGCTCCCGGTGGAGTACAGGATCAGGTTTAAGGTGCTGGTTTTAACCTTTAAAGCCCAATACGGCCTAGGACCCTCGTACCTACGGGACCGCCTCTCCTGGTATGTCCCACAGAGAAATTTACGGTCTGCAAATAAAAACACCCTGAAGATCCCAGGCCACAGAGAGGTTAGGCTGGCCTCAACTAGAGCCAGGGCTTTCTTGGCCGCAGCTCCAATCTGGTGGATCGCTCTGTCACAAGAGACTAGGGCCCTGCAGGACCTGACATCTTTCCGCAGGGCCTGCAAGACAGAGCTGTTCCACCAGGCCTTTAGTCAGGGCGCAGCCTGACCCCCTCCTCTGGCAATCTGCACAGAATTTTGCTTAACGGTTGCCATCAATTTGATTTTAATTAATTTTATAATGAATGTTTTTAGAATGTTGGATTATTTTGATTGTTGTTAGCCACCCTGAGCCCAGCTTCGGCTGGGGAGGACGGGATATAAATAAAATTTATTATTATTATTATTATTATTATTATTATTATTATTATTATTATTATTATTTTCCTACATATTCCCATCACTTGGTGTGTGGCTCACTAGTTATAAAGTTTAGGAGATAAATGATCTTAGAAAGAACTAGATATAGAAATAGATAAAGTTATGGCCACAAGCAGGCTTTGTCTACTGCTTAAAAGCTTGTTACAGTCACTAGTTATTTATTGTAATTTCTTTTAAATATTGCAGTGTTCTAATACCTATTGTATCAGCCTGCCTAACTTCCTAGGTACTAAGTCTCACTCAGCTCAGTGGGAATTGCTTCTGGGTAAACGTGCATAGGGCTGTGCTATAAATAAGGAGATGCCATTTAGACTCTGACACTGCTGTCCCAAAGTAAAAATAAATATTGACCAAAGACCTTTTTAAAAATTAAGTGCTATGGATTCATGAAATCCATTATCCATTGGAATCCATTACCCCATTACCATTACTCTTTGAAATCATTAAGATGTAAATGCATGAAGAATGGCAGTCAGTTCCACCAAATGTTAAGGTATAACACCCACCCCACCCCTGCCCACAGCTATAATAATGACATTTCCACATATTGTGACACATCAAAATGCTTGGAGGTGAATCTGGAGCTTCCTGCTTGAGCAACATATCCAGCAATTTCAATAAAAAAGAACATCAAGACCGGAAAACTTTTTTCCAGTGGGTGTTCTGTATCTCCAACATTTTTCATTTCTAGAAACCAAAAAGCCTAGGCAAAGACCTGGAAATTAAATATTTTCCAAAACAAGTTGTTTAGTCATGTCCAACTCTTTGTGACCCCATGGACCAGAGCACGCCAGGCACTCCTGTCTTCCACTGCCTCCCGCAGTTTGGTCAAACTCATGCTGGTAGCTTCGAGAACACTGTCCAACCATCTCGTCCTCTGTTGTCCCCTTCTCCTTGTGCCCTCCATCTTTCCCAACATCAGGGTCTTTTCCAGGGAGTCTTCTCTTCTCATGAGGTGGCCTCAGCTTCAGGATCTGTCCTTCCAGTGAGCACTCAGGGTTGATTTCCTTAAGAATGGATAGGTTTGATCTTCTTGCAGTCCATGGGACTCTCGAGAGTCTCCTCCAGCACCATAATTCAAAAGCATCAATTCTTCGGCGATCAGCCTTCTTTATGGTCCAGCTCTCACTTCCATACATCCAAAACAAGTAGCAAATGTAATTCCTGGAGATGGTTAATGACCGCAGATAGCCCTATCCTTGTGGGTCTTTGGACCAAATTGTTGTTGTTGATGATGATGATGATAGCCCTCTCCCTAGCTTTTGATCTTCTTACTAAAGAATGCTAACACCGGTACTTGTGACATCAGAATGCTGCCATTTTGTAGCAGTGTAATCTGGAGTTTGTGGGTTTGCAAGTGAATTTGCAATGTGAATCCTGCAATGGGATGCAGAGCAGGGTGGTGGGGGAAAGGGAGGATCAGGGGATTTGTAATGTACTGGGATATGCATTGCCAGTTAATCTCTTGAGAATCTGCTTTCTTGCTTAGAGAAGAGTTGGGGAATCCCAGACCTAGAGGTTGAATGTGGTCTGCCAATCCTCTCTACCTGGCCTGTTCTGCTACTCTTCTCGTTAGGTCTGTTCTGTGTCCTCCTCTAGTGATTTTATCTGGCTAGAATGTGTCCTGTGATAATACCCATTGCTTGCCTGGATGGAGGATGGAAAGCGCTGTGTGTCTGGCCACACCCACTTTTGCCATTTGGGAGGCTGCCCAAGAAGAAATATGTCTCTCGAG